AAGAGTGTCTTGAAGGGCTCTAATGGAGTGATAAGAGGCACAACAGGAGTTTAAAGGCTGGAAAAGGGACCCAAATGCAGACTCCTTTTAAGTCAGCCAGACATTAACCACTGAAACCCAGTATTGAGACAAGAGGCAAGTTCACAACCTTCTTGCATCTTTGAATTAAGGACACTTCTCTAGAAGCCACAGACCAAATGCAGGAGGCAAACCCAGGCTCAAGTCTGGAATAATCACTGTTCTATTGATCACATACAGACAGTGAAAAAAAACCAACAAAAAACAAAACCAAAACTCAAACAATTCAGCAGCTTAAGCTCTTTGACACGAGTCCAAGGCCCAGCCATCCAACTCCTGGGCACAGAGGAGGGACTCAAGTGATGTCTACTCCTTAATCCTGCTCCAGACCTGGATGCAGAACGACCCTGGGCCTTTCCCAGGAGAATCAACTGATCTGTGAGTTGCGCCAGGGCCATTTCCTCCCTCCCTGCTGGAGGCAGTGAGGCAGCAACCCCCTTGTTTGGCCAGGGAGGTTGTGAACAAGCTCTGCTGTTGTCAACAAGTGCTGCTGTGAAAGAGCTGTGGGTCTCTTACCAGTGCTGTACCCGTGGGAGCCGTAGCCGCTGGGCTGCTGGAACGGGGTGGCTGATGCGTTGACGCTGACATTCACACCATGCTGCTTGGAAGAGGTAGGAGCAACCTACAGAGAGGAGGGCAGCAGAGTGAGGAGAGGCTTCCCTGCAGTGCCCTCCTGCCCACATGCCAGGCCCTGCCTCTGAGGAACTCACAGGGAACACGGCGGGCCCATACTGGAAGGTGCTGGGGAGCCCTGGTACCCCTGTGTAGTAGGGCAGACTGGTGTAACTGTAGCCAGGAGGCAGCGCCGGGTTCAAGAAGGTCTGCTGAGTGGTGTGATGAGTCTGGGTCTGGCTCTGCTGGGGCTGGGCCAAAGTCGTTGCAGGAGCAGGGGAAGAGGCATCACCCCGGCCAAATTTTGGTAAATCACCTGGAATAACAGGATGAAAGAGACTGAAGAACAGATCTTGTCAAATCCTGGCCCACTCCAGCTCAGCCCAAAGGGCTCTTGATCAATGGTGACTTGGATTGACTCCCCTCCTACAGCTTCCAAGGACTGCAGCCTCACAAGCCCTGCACTCTGATGAGGCTAAGCTGTTAATTGCTCAACTCACCCCTGAGAGGAGGATTCAGAGGGGAAAGAAAACCCACAGCAGCTCAGCACTGCCTGCTGTCACCTGCCCTGGCCACCTGCACAGCCACAGAGCCCAGATGTTGGAGCTCTCCCTACACCCTCCACCAGCCCTGAACATAACTCCCTCCAGAGCCAGCCCTGAGGCCAGGGCAGCAGCTCAGGGGCCCTGTCCTGGCAGCAAACAGCTACTGTAGCCAGGAGGCAGCGCCGGGTTCAGGAAGGTCTGCTGAGTGGTGTGATGAGTCTGGGTCTGGCTCTGCTGGGGCTGGGCCAAAGTCGTTGCAGGAGCAGGGGAAGAGGCATCACCCCGGCCAAATTTTGGTAAATCACCTGGAATAACAGGATGAAAGAGACTGAAGAACAGATCTTGTCAAATCCTGGCCCACTCCAGCTCAGCCCAAAGGGCTCTTGACCAATGGTGACTTGGATTGACTCCCCTCCTACAGCTTCCAAGGACTGCAGCCTCACAAGCCCTGCACTCTGATGAGGCTAAGCTGTTAATTGCTCAACTCACCCCTGAGAGGAGGATTCAGAGGGGAAAGGAAACCCACAGCAGCTCAGCACTGCCTGCTGTCACCTGCCCTGGCCACCTGCACAGCCACAGAGCCCAGATGTTGGAGCTCTCCCTACACCCTCCACCAGCCCTGAACATAACTCCCTCCAGAGCCAGCCCTGAGGCCAGGGCAGCAGCTCAGGGGCCCTGTCCTGGCAGCAAACAGCTCCTCCTTGAAGAGCAGAGACCAGGATCTTCCAGCTGAGGTTGTGTGAATGGCCCCTTTTTACAGCAGGGCTCACACCTCCTCTCTCTTGCTGGTGGCACCAAATCAAATGCTGCTGCAGAGGTTCAGATCATGCCAGAGAGCACTGGGAAATGTCACTGGGAGCACTTGGAAACAGCAGTTCCTCTCTTCCCAGCCTGGGCACTGCCTGAGGACTTGGCCACCCTGCTCCCTGTGCTGCTCTCCACACACACCTGCTTGGCTCTTCCACACACTCTCCCCCATTCAGGGCTCATACACTAAGTCAGTGATTTCTCAGCACAGCCCCAGCTCACAAGTGAGTCCAGGGTTAGCCACAAACATTAATTATCACCAATGTGAACTTGGCAAATGAACTTGGCAGCAGTGTTGAATCCTGAGCCTGGGATTCCAGCCCTGGTGTGCCAGGCAAAAGCGCTTCCATGTAAACAAGCTCCAGCAGGGGAGATGTGGGGCTGGAAAAAGAGGGATCCACAAAGTGCAACAATTCCCAAAGGACGTGAAAACTGAGCACAACTGCTGCCCCCCTGCCCATCAGCAGTGTGAATAAATGCATCTACTGAGGTCAGGGAGAGACCAGCACCCACTGAACTCCTGGTTTGAACCCGACAGCTCCTAAATGCCCTGTTTTCTTTCTCCATGAGACTGTTGCATCATACAAAACTTAATTTCTCCAGATTTGGTATTTGTTTGTCTCTAAGTGCTTAACTCCTGCCTCACCACGACCTGAAAAGAAGTTCCCCAGTGTTAGACCTCATAGATACTTTCAGCCATTCCTTGCTTTCTTTCCAATTCCTACTTCTCCATATCATCCTGGTAAAATGCTTTGACGTGACCAGGATGAGCAAATGGAATTCAGGACTTTAGCTGCTGAGAAGCTGCTCCAGCCCAAAGGCAGTGCAGGAGGCTGGTGCAGAGGTAGCTCCAGGGCACAGGAAACAAGCAGAAGCAGGGACATCCAATGAAATATGTGAGCTGAACCATCTTTTTCCCTACCAGAGTAAGGATTGCTGCTCAGGCTGCCATCTCTTCCAGTCAGCAGGGTGGTGGGCGTAGGGAAGGGGATTGTCCTGCTTTGAGCCAGGATGAAGCCAATTATAGTTTTATGATCTCTGTCCAGAGATACAAAGCAGTGTCTTTTGGAAAAGAGGGATTTCTGGACTGCAGTTGCTAGATATGTTGGGATTACTGCAGCTCAACCAGCCACAGCCAGCCTGAGCACAGCCCACAGCAGCCCCAGGTTCTGTAGCACGCACCATCCCCCTTGTCTGGCTACAGCAAGAACCAGATAAGGTCTACTGGTGTGCAGCCCTCAACTGCCTGGGCCTGCCCCTGCACCTGACAACACAAGGGACACACATGATATTGATCAATCATAGAATCCCAGACTCCTTTGGCCTGGAGGAACCTTAAACATCATCCAGTCCCACCCCTGCATGGGCAGGGACACCTCCCACCAGCCCAGGTTGCTCCAAGCCCCATCCAACCTGCCCTTCAACACTGCCAGGGATGGGGCAGCCACAGCTTCTCTGGGCAACCTGGGCCAGGGTCTCACCACCCTCAGTGTGAAGAATTTCTTCCTAACATCTAACCTAAACCTCCCCTCTTCCAGTTTTAATCCATGCCCCCTTATCCCATCCCTCCCTGCCCTTGTCCCAAGTCCCTCCCCAGCTTTCCTGGAACCCCTTCAGGCACTGGAAGGTGCTCTAAGGTCTCCCTGGAGCCTTCTCCAGGCTAAAATGAACCCCACTCTCACAGAAGTACTTAGTCACAGCCTCTTTCAAGCATCAGAAGCATCTACAACAGAACAGAGTTGGGCAGAACATCTCTGCCTGCTCTAGCTCTCATTCCCAGCCCCAACATCAGCACCACTGGCCCAGTAATTCCTGATCCCAACTTCCAGGTGCAAAGGAGCAACTGACTAACTCCTCCCTACTGCCATGGAGAGGTGCACCCACTTAGCACCCTGTTTTGCCAGCTCTTTGGGCCTGCCTCCCAGCCTGACCCCTCTGTGCAGCACCAACGAGCTGCCAGCCCCGTGGCCGCGTTGGTCTCCAGCACTCACCAATGGGAATCTCGTCTGTAGCATCTGCAAGTCATCATATCCATACACCTGTGGCTAGAAAGAATGCAGGAGATGATGTTAGGGACACAGCAGATAAAGACTCACCCAATTTTAGATCAAACATTTAGATAAACATGTGATAAAATCAGAAGCAGATGATCAGAGGCTGCACCATTACCAGGTGCAGGCACCCAGCACCAGACTGATCCTGCAAAGATTCCATGAGCTGCTCAGATGGAGGGTGAGCTCTGACACCTAGCACTGCAGCTCCAGACCACAGAGGTCTCCACAGTTTTCCTCCAGAAACTATTCCAACACTGTAATCCTTTCCCACCTTCAGAAATGGGCTGTGAAACATCCCTAGACTTTGTGGCAATCACCACCCTTGTCCTGACTGGCCTTTGTCACACCATGTTGCTAACACAGCTCCACATTTTCAGGACCTGTGCTCTGACCAAGGGGCTGCTGCTCCCCAAAGGTTGGGGAAGCTGTAGAGACTGGAGCAGAATCTGCTTTGGAGTGATCAGAACCACTGACATTTGCCCCCATGGGCACAAAGATTTCCTCTGCTACTCTTTTATGGAAAACAGCAGATGCAAACTCTTCCCATCCAAGGCAATCCTGCTGGGCTGATGCTGCAGGTTTGGTTGCTCTGCTACACTACATCCCTCCCTGCTGGCTGAAGGCAAAGCTAGAAGAGATATTCATAAAGTCATCAGGGTTGCAAGGGACCACTGGAGATCATCTAGTCCAACCACCCTGCTAGATCATGATCACCTACAGTAGATCCCACAAGAACATGTCCAGATGGGTTTGGAATATTTCTAGAGGAGGAGACTTCACAACCAGCCTGGGCAGCCTGTCCCAGGGCTCTGTTACTCTCACAGTAAAGAAGTTTTTCTTAACGTTTAACTGAAGATCCAGTTCAAGATCTAGGGCTATGACACGACTGCAAAGAGCTGCTGGTCACACTCACCGGATACGCGTGTAGCAACCCCGGAGCCATGATGTACGGATTAGGCAACAACGGTGGGACTCCAGGAGGGAGGTTGGGAGGGGCTTTTCCTGATAAAGGCAGAGAAAGGAGAAGTTCCAGAGTGAAGCCAACTACAGAAACTGTCTCTCTTAGCCCTCAGGCCCTCCTCCTGTTTAGCAGCACCCAGGACAGTACCTGATGTTGTTGCAACAGAGCTGCGAGTGGTGGCTGTGACGGTGGAATTGCTGCTGAGGCTGAGGCCCAGGCTGCTGACACTGCTGAGGCTGGATGAGACACTCACCACTGGTGGGGCAGCTGACACTGTGCTGGAGGAGGTGGAGAAAGTGCTAGCAGAAGAATGGAGGCTTGCTTCACTCTCCACACTTGTGTGCTAGGGAAGGAAAGGGAAGAGTCAGGCAATCAGGCACCGGGCAGGTCTGTCTGCACCCAGCTGTTCCCAAGAGCCTGCAATGAACTTGGCTACTGCAGGCTACAAAGAAACCTGCTCTGCATCTGGCTGAAGTCCAAAGTCCTGACAGCAGCCAACTCCTAATGCTTCCAAGCCTCTCATGTGGCTGTGTCCCAGCGTGTCTGTCTGCTGGAGACACAGGGCTGAGCAGCGCGGCTGCGGCAGGGAAAGCGGCGGCGGCCACCCCCCCAGCCTGTGCTGCAGGAGCCCCAGCACTGAGCACACTAAACCGTGACTCCACCAGCCACCAGTTTGCTCTGACATGGGGCTGCAGCTCTGCAGCACTTTAAGAGCTGCAACAGGCTCAAAAGAAGCTGCTGCTACATCTGGAACAGGCAAGGTGTTCAAAGCACCTCCAGCCAGAGGTGCACACAGAGCATTCTGGTGTCACCCTCCATGCAATACCCAAACTCCAGCAGGACAAGCAGCAGCCTGGCAGCTCTGCAGACTCCACCAGCTGCACACCCAAGGCTGGGCACAC